ACACTTTTGGATACTCTGCGATTACACTGTGGATAGGTTCATGGCAATGAGATGGTCTCTGGGCACTACAGTGCTTTTCTGAGGTGCGGCATATCACAACACACCAATACTTCAAAGCAACTTGACTACAAGGTGCTGCAGAGTGAAGGTGTTGGGAGAATGTGCCTTTGTGACCAGGACATTAAAAGCAGCCAGGTTTCCACAGGTTCTCAGTTCAGGTGTTTTGCACAGCATGATGGACTTGCAGCAACGGCCTTGGCAATGCTCTCACCCAAGTGCAGGGCTGTGGGGATGTGGGATGGGGGCACCTCAGCTGGGGTTTCTATAACACAACACTCCTCCACAGGGGCAGATCCAGGGTGGGGTGCACTGGTGCACTTCTCCTGCTCCACCCCAAATTTAAAGACAAGTGCCCGGCTGTAGGATCAGTATGTCTTGTCAGGCAGTGCTGAGGGATCCACTTGACTTGATGGCTCATTGTCAGCTACCTCGTCCCTTCTAAACTCTTCCTTCCAGGGGCGTTAACAACCCTCTCTCCTTTTTTAAGGGCCTTGATGCTCCACCCGTCCATCCAGTAGGGCTGTGCGGAACAGCACCGTTCCATTTCGACTTGTGCTTCAACGTTTTGATGGAACAGTGTTTCGTTTCGAATTTTGTTTCTATTTGAAACTGCTGTTCCATTTCATTTCGTCAAAACAGTTTTGCTGTTTTGACATTTCACCCATAGGCTATAATGGGGAAGCTCGAAACAGCCTATAACCTTGTCATTTCTGGCCGGATTTGGATGAAACTTGCAGGAATGGTAGCACCTTCTCAGGGCATGAAGCCTGCCAAGGTTCAAGGAGATAGGGTGAAGGGGTTTGGAGAAACTGCACCTCAAAATCTTGAAAGCAAACAACTCACGCCATGTGTATGTGTTAAGCTGCAGCAGGGTCAAAACTGCAGGGATGCTAGCCCCTGGTGAGGCCACAGAGCCTGCCAAATTTCAAGAAGATTGGTGCAGGGGTTTGGGAGAAACTGCACCTCAAGCTGCAGACAAGCAAAACTCATGACATGGGTGACACTGCGTGTGTTAAGGCGCAGCAGGGTGAAAACTGCAGGCCTGCTAGCCCCTGATGAGGCCACAAAGCCTGCCTGCTGTCAAGGAGATGGGTGCAGGGGGAGCCTGGGTTCTGGGGCCCTGCATCTCCGGCTGATGACTGGCAACACTCGTGATATGGGTGGATGACAGTGTGTGTGTGTTAAGGTGCACCCTCACTCTAGTGACACCAAGGTAGAAAGCAGGGCAGTTCAAACAGTGCTGCCTTTCATGCAGTTTTTCCATCCCTCCCCCAGAGCACTGGGATTGGAGGGGACCTCAGGGAATGGTGACAGTCACTGGCCAGCTACACAGTCAACAATGAGAGCACACCTTCCCCTCCCTCACCTGACTTTAGTTTCTGTTTCCCTGTAGGCAAGCCCAGCTCGAGCTTTGAAACTTGAAACGTTTTGAAAATTTTGAAACGTTTCGACTTGCCTTGTTTCATTTCGAGGCTGTTTCGAAGCTCTCTGTTTTGTTTCGATTTCACTGTTTTGAGCTTGAAACGAGTTGAAACAGTGTCGAAACGAAACTGCTGGCGAAATTTCACACAGCCCTGTCATCCAGCCATTGTTCTGCCCTGCTTGTCTGCGGGCTGCTCCTGGTCAGGAAGTTCCTATGTCATAGCCCTGTGGGTTGTTTTTAACTCGTCCCAGTGGAGCTGTGCTTATTTTGGCTTCCCTCCAAAAGGGAATAAGGCAGCCCCAGGGGGCGAGGGAACCATCTGGTTTCTTCTGAACTGGAGAAAAAGGTGCACCATGTAGGGTCGCCAACTCTGTTTAAATCTAGTCTGGGAGGTTTCCAGAACACTAATGTGCCCGCAATGCACAACACAAACGTGCCCGTGTGCTTGTGTACATCAGTTATGGATTACAGTGCATCCACTTTATATCAGGAAGGCAAATGCACATCACTATTACATTTACAATACCCACTAGACTACTGTATAAATTGGATTTGACATTTCATATTTATTTCATAGATTTCATAGACATTAGGGCTGGAAGGGACCTCAAGTCCAGCCGCTTGCCCCAGGGGCAGGAAGTCAGCTGGGGTCATAGGATCCCAGCAAGATAAGCATCCAATTTACTCCTGAAGGTGTTCAATGTAGGTGCTTGAACCACCTCCGATGGCAGGCTGTTCCAGACCTTGGAGGCTCAGACAGTAAAGAAATTCTTACTTATGTCCAGCCTGAAATGGTCTTGTAGTAGTTTATAACCGTTCGACCTCATCATCCCTTGGGGCGCTCTGGTGAACAAACGTTTCCCCAGATACTGGTGGTCACCCCCGATAAACTTATAGGTGGCCACCAGATCACCCCTGAGCCTGCGCTTTTCCAGGCTAAAGAGCCTCATAGCTCTC